ACACACACACACACGTCAGGCCCCTGAAACACACACACACACGTCAGGCCCCTGAAACACACACACACACATCAGGCCCCTGAAACACACACACACACACACACACACACACACGTCAGGCCCCTGAAACACACACACACACACGTCAGGCCCCTGAAACACACACACACACACACACACACACACACACACGTCAGGCCCCTGAAACACACACACACACACACACACGTCAGGCCCCTGAAACACACACACACACGCCAGGCCCCTGAACACACACACACACACGTCAGGCCCCTGAAACACATACACACGTCAGGCCCCTGAAACACACACACACACACACACGTCAGGCCCCTGAAACACACACACGTCAGGCCCCTGAAACACACAAACACGTCAGGCCCCTGAAACACACACACACGTCAGGCCCCTGAAACACACACACACGTCAGGCCCCTGAAACACACACACACACACGTCAGGCCCCTGAAACACACACACACACACACACACACGTCAGGCCCCTGAAACACACACACACACGTCAGGCCCCTGAAACACACACACACGTTAGGCCCCTGAATCACACATACACACACACGCCAGGCCCCCGAACACACACACACACGTCAGGTCCCTGAAACACACACACACGTAAGGCCCCTGAAACACACACACACACACACGTCAGGCCCCTGAAACACACACACGTCAGGCCCCTGAAACACACAAACACGTCAGGCCCCTGAAACACACACACACGTCAGGCCCCTGAAACACACACACACGTCAGGCCCCTGAAACACACACACACGTCAGGCCCCTGAAACACACACACACACACGTCAGGCCCCTGAAACACACACACACACACACACACACGTCAGGCCCCTGAAACACACACACACACGTCAGGCCCCTGAAACACACACACACGTTAGGCCCCTGAATCACACATACACACACACGCCAGGCCCCCGAACACACCCACACACGTCAGGTCCCTGAAACACACACACACGTCAGGCCCCTGAAACACACACACACACACACGTCAGGCCCCTGAAACACACACACACACACATCAGGCCCCTGAAACACACACACACACACACACGTCAGGCCCCTGAAACACACACACACACACACGTCAGGCCCCTGAAACACAAACACACACACACACACACACACGTCAGGCCCCTGAAACACATACACACACACACACACGTCAGGCCCTGAAACACACACACACACACACACACACACACACGTCAGGCCCCTGAAACACACACACACACACACACACACATCAGGCCCCTGAAACACACACACACGTCAGGCCCCTGAAACACACACACACACACACACACGTCAGGCCCCTGAAACACACACACACACACACACATACACACATCAGGCCCCTGAAACACACACACGTCAGGCCCCTGAAACACACACACACGTCAGGCCCCTGAAACACACACACACGTAAGGCCCCTGAAACACACACACACGTCAGGCCCCTGAAACACACACACACACATCAGGCCCCTGAAACACACACACACACACGTCAGGCCCCTGAAATACACACACACACACACACACACACACACACACACACACACACACACACACACACACGTCAGGCCCCTGAAACACACACACACGTCAGGGCCCTGAAACACACACACACACACGTCAGGCCTCTGAAACACACACACACACACACACACACACACACACACACACACACACACACGTCAGGCCTCTGAAATACACACACACACACACACATATCAGGCCTCTGAAATACACACACACACACGTCAGGCCCCTGAAACACACAAACACGTCAGGCCCCTGAAACACACACACACGTCAGGCCCCTGAAACACACACACACACACACGTCAGGCCCCTGAAACACACACACACACGCCAGGCCCCTGAACACACACACGTCAGGCCCCTGAAACACACACACACACGCCAGGCCCCTGAACACACACACACACACGTCAGGCCCCTGAAACACATACACACGTCAGGCCCCTGAAACACACACACACACACACACGTCAGGCCCCTGAAACACACACACGTCAGGCCCCTGAAACACACAAACACGTCAGGCCCCTGAAACACACACACACGTCAGGCCCCTGAAACACACACACACACACGTCAGGCCCCTGAAACACACACACACACACACACGTCAGGCCCCTGAAACACACACACACACGTCAGGCCCCTGAAACACACACACACGTTAGGCCCCTGAAACACACACACACACACGTCAGGCCCCTGAAACACACATACAAACACACGCCAGGCCCCTGAACACACACACACACGTCAGGTCCCTGAAACACACACACACGTCAGGCCCCTGAAACACACACACACACACGTCAGGCCCCTGAACACACACACACACATCAGGCCCCTGAAACACACACACACACACGTCAGGCCCCTGAAACACACACAC